AGACGGGAGAAGATTAGCGCATGTACGACCCCGATGACGGAGCCTGCGCACATCCGTGACCTTGCGCGGTGAGAACGGCAGTCGCTGACTGAACCTCCCGTAAGCCCTCCCGTCCTCCTCAAAACCACCGCACGCATGCGCATGTGTGCGACCGGAACCCTGCGTACCCTCCGAGCACCCTCGAGATCACACCACCCCATCCGCACCATGGCCTCAGGCGCAGCGTCGACCGCAAACACCCTCAGCGGGACCCAGACGAAGACGACGCACGCGCGCGTTCCCATCTCTGCCCTTCCCCTACCCCCAGCCTCGCACTCGCTGATCCACGCGCTCACCCCGGACCCATACACCCCCACGCCCGCCGCATGGCGCGACATCCGCGCGGAACGTCCGAGTCTGCAGCGCCGCGCGCGGCTGCTCGCGCCCGAGGCGCACTTCTCGTACGTCGCCCCGTGTCCGCTGCCGTTCCCGTACCGCGTGGAGTACCCAGAGGACGCGGAGGGCGAGGCGCAGGTGAAGGCCGTGGAGGACTGGCTGGTCGCGCGGGAGGCGCTGCGCGAGGTGCCCACCGCTGCAGGCGGGAGGCTGAAGAAGTACATCGCGAAGGAGAGGGACCAGGAGCGCGTGCTGATCGGGTTGGCGGAGACGGGGTTGGGGGACTGTGTGCCGCAGCTGGACGTCGGGGATGCGTTTGAGTTGCTTGGGAGCCCGTCGCTCTCTGTGCCCTCTGGGCAGGATCCTGGCTCGGAACCCGCGGTCGATGTGCCCGCGGCGGGTGAGACGGCTGTCGCGGCGCGGCAGGAACTCATTGACGTGCTGAGCGGACATGCAATGTTGATGAACGGCGAGGGCGAGGACGTGCAGGCGCAGTGGGCACCGTGGTCGTTGCGGTACAGCGGACACCAGTTCGGCACATGGGCGGGGCAGTTGGGTGACGGACGTGCCATCTCTCTCCGTGAGTCCGTGAGCTCGTTGAGTGTCGCTCTCAACACTAACGGGAATACTTCACATGCGACAGTGAGCACCCCGCACCCAGAGCTACCAGATGTACAGTATGAGCTTCAGCTCAAGGGCGCAGGCCGCACACCCTTCTCGCGCATGGCGGACGGCTTGGCCGTACTGCGCTCATCCATCCGCGAGTTCCTCTGCTCCGAAGGTACGCCTCGTGATGTAGCTCGTAAGCTTCTACTGACCAGTATCTACTAGCCATGCACGCGCTAGGCATTCCAACAACGCGCTCGCTCGCCCTCATTGCTCTCCCCAAGCTCCCCGTCGAGCGCGAGCGTATCGAGTCTGCTTGCGTCCTCACGCGCGTCGCGCCGTCGTTCATCCGCATCGGTTCCTTCGAGGCGCTAAACCCGCCCGCGCAGATGTTCTTCCTCGGGGGCGGGCAGCAGCCCGGCAACCTCGACGCGCTCCGCGTGCTGGGCGAGTGGGTCGCGCGCCGTGTGCTGCGGCTGCGCGATATCCAGTGGCGCGGAGATGCGGGCGTGGAGGGCCCGGGAGATGCGTGGGGCGCGAAGCTCGTGCTGGAGGTTGCGCGGAGGAACGCGAAGATGGTCGCGGGGTGGCAGGTGTACGGGTTCATGCATGGGGTGATCAACACTGACAAGTGCGGCTAGTGTTCCTGGTCGAGGGACGTTTGCTAATGTTCCCCCTCTTCGCTCGCAGTGTTTCAATCATGGGCCTGACGATTGACTATGGTGAGCACTGCCGTGACCTATGGGTAGTCCCGATTTAACATTCTGTGCGCAGGACCATATGCCTTCATGGATGTGTTCGACCCATGGCATATATGTAACCACAGCGACGGGGAGGGGCGATACGCATACAAGGTGAGGCGTTTGCGCACTCCTATGCACTGAGTCTGCTGACTATCCTTCTCTGCCCTCAGTATCAACCAGCCGTGATGTCAGTCTGTCCTCTATGACCACCGTGACCATGGCGTTTCCAGACTGACACATATGATATATCGCAGCATTCACGCTCTACGGTCACTCCTCAACGCTCTCGCTCCCCTCATCGGCGCGGAGGATGAACTCGGCGGCAATGCCGTCTCCCCAGGCTGGGCAGAGGACGCGTCAGAGGACATAATCGGGGAGTGGTCCAAGCGCGGCATCGCCCTCGTCAAGGAGGAGATGGAGCGGGTCGCAGAGGAGACCTGCGCTGTAGAGTACGGCCGGCTCATGCACAAGGTACGTCCTGACTCTGCCTTATTAGCTTGTCCACGTTCCCTCCTCCACACGACAGAGCTAAACATGCGCACGCACACAGCGACTTGCACTGCGACGTATAGACAAGGACGACGAGTCGAAGCTCGCCCGCCCGCTCCTCACGATCATGGAGGACCACAAGCTCGACTTCCACGGGACCTTCCGCCGACTCTGTTTCTTCAAGCCGTCCTTAGCGGCCTCTGAAGACGCCCTGAAAGGCTTCGTCGACAGCCTGCTGGAGCTCACGTCCGAGCCGGAGAGACTGGACCATATCAGGGCGCATAGCGACTGGTCCGGCTGGCTCAGGCGATATGCAGCGCGGATCGACAGCGAGCGGGATCACTGGGGCGCCGATGTGGATGCGGAGAGGGAGACGGAAGCTAAGGGCGCGAATCCGCGGTTTGTGCTGAGGCAGTGGGTGCTCGAGGAGGTCATCAAGAAGGTGGAGACGGACGCCAGCAGTGGCAAGCGCATCCTGCGGAAGGTCTTGAATGTGAGTGCTTCCGCTTCGTGCCATGCCGCGAAGTCACGACTCATGTGTCTTGGCAGATGGCTTGCAGCCCGTATGAACCATGGGGCGGGGAGGGCCAGGAACCGAACGAAGATGAGCTGGATGCGGAGACTCGGGAAGAGCGACGATACTGCGGCATGGGCGAGAGGAAGCTGCTGGGCTTCCAGTGCAGCTGCTCCAGCTGAGCACCGGAGTTCCACAATATGTACAACACTGCTGCACGATTGCTGTGTATCCTGGATAGATCTCCCAATAAGCCTGTTGTATGATTCCACGTAAAGGTTCGTCCTAGAGTATAGTACGACGGCGTAGGTGCGAAGTCCCTGGCCGGGTGCTGGGGACGTCCGAGCAGTAGAGTACATTGAATTTCGTTCCGAATCGTGACGTACAGTACATCCATCCTTGTCCTGTCTATGCCTAGGTCGCGCTGCCGAAGATCTGGTAGCGTCTGCAGATGCTGGGACCGATCTCGTCGTACTGCGCCTTCGTGTGGCAGAACGAGTAGAACTCGGGCTGACATGGAGCATCTATATGAGAAAGGCCCTCGTAGCATAAGCAGCACGCCACTCACCAGAGACGCCATAAGCGAACCACCGAACCAGACAGCGTAGCTGAGATGGAGGGTGAGCTTGCGAATCGGAGATACGGGATAGAGAAACGGACCGTTGACGCTTGTGCGAGATGACATCGACCTCGACACCGGACGACTATATGCGGATTGAGGCCCTGACCTCTCGGTATGTGAAATGACGAGACTCACCCGCAGCTGACTACCACTTGCTGCCATGCTCGCGTCCAACCGACGATCCACGATCTGCTTCAGGTCACGCTTGAGACGGTTTCCAAAGTGCTGGAACATTGTGGAGCCACCGGAGAGTACGATGTTCTGTGGACGCGGGAAGACTTGTTGGCACATGACGGGTACAGTGTTGAAGACGCACTGACCTTGTAGAGTCCTCGCCGAACATCGATGGGCGACTGCTGGATGACGCCATCGACGATCTCCGGCAGTGGTGTCAAGAAGTCGGACGAGTAGATCTCGGGGTTGAAGAAGATTTCGGGGGCAAGGAATCGCTCGTAGCCGACGTCGATCTCGTATTTCTGTGCGGTTGGCTCGGTCAATGGGGGTGCTGGGCAGTAGGGTGTATCCTTGGACGTACCCGTCCAGTTACGGTGTGCTCCCCTTCATAGCGCGCAAAGTACTTGTACGGCTCCTGGTCGTACTTCCTGAACTCTTTGACGATGTCCTGGCAGACGTAGCTGTACTGCTCCTTCACCTTGCCCGCAACCTTGAGCTGGTCTTCGGGAGGGACGTTCGCCATCTCCCCGCGCTCACGCATGAGGTTCAGCACGAACTGGGTGATGTCACGACCTGCGATGGGGATGTGCTTGATGGCACTGCCGATGACGTAGCCCTCCGCGCAGGGGATAACGTGCGTAACACCATCTCCGGAGTCGATGACAGTACCCGTGAGCGTACGGTCGGTGACGCGGTTCGAGGACCACGACGCGGCGAGGGCAAGGACGGCCTGCACGGCGATGTACAGACCCTTGATGTTGAACGACTCGAAGAAGATCTCCGCAGTCTGCTCGCGGTTCTCTGGGGGGTTCAATGGGGGCTCGGTCTGCACAGAACATGGAATCGGGGCAGATCAGACACTACGCGCGTGCTGCGCTGCAGGCAGATGACGACGGAGTACGCACCAGGAGGAAGTAGTGGTCCTCAGGCTCCGCACGCAAGTACTTGAAGATGGTCTGCTCCCAGAATCGCTCCATGTAGTCCCAGTTCTCGATCTGGCCGTGGCGGATGGGGTAGTTGACTCCATAGCCGGGAGTTTGAGCATTGGCCAGGGCCTCATCGCCGATGAAGAAGTCGAGGTCCTCGACGCCGCGCTTGGACGCAAGATGACCAGGTTTCGAAGGTAGAGCGGGGCCTGTGCGACTGGGTTGTGCGGCGGGTCCACGAGTCGCTATGGCGGTGGGAAAGACACTGGGGTAGCATGAGCAACCCGACGGGGTAACACGAGTCGGGCGCACTTACAAGGATGGATCGGAGTTCCCAGCATACCTTCGAGGCGGTCAGATACAACACTGCAGCCTCAGACATCCGTGCACGTACCCAACCTTGGAGAACCCGGTACCGTTGTCACAGATAATCGGCGCGAGGACGGACATCGTCGTTCACTGCAGGCTGCGTCCATCCACTGCCGCGCTCATGCTACCACATCCCATGCCGTAATCATCACGTGGCTATTACCTAAGGCATTGCAACCCATGGGTCGGTGGCGTAGTTGGTTATCGCATCTGTCTAACAGTGGCTTACATAAGCCCACAGAAGGTCCTCAGTTCGAACCTGGGCCGACTCATATTTTTGGACTTTTTTTATCTCCCGGGTATGCAGAACACAACGCCAAGCATCAGTTTCATATACCAATACAGTGTTCCCCTGGTCCTTGAGACACGCAATTTTGGACACTGATCTCGAGGCTCCCTTCGTGTTCTTTCAACTGTCAATGTCCTGAAAGCGTTTGTGAGGTACTGTAGCAGTGTCAGAATATTTCTTGAGCGGATATGTCAAGAGGTGAGTGCGGAAGAGACAGAACGGTGAACATACAAAGAACAGGCGTCCCCCACTCCTTGAGACAGCCATAATCTCCTTTTCGGGCCAACATGTCAGCATTCCCATGCGCGAGGATCCTCAGCGCTACAGCTGCTATGTCGCCCTCGAATGATCGGCATTCCGGTCTCGAGACAGACAGTATCTGACATCCTGCCAATAATCCGAAACCCACTTGTAACTTCTAAAAATGAATCCTAGATGTGTCCAGACTGGAAGACTACGAGCATCCTACCGAAGGCAGCCAATTCAACTGCAAAAGTCAGTCTCTGACATACTATCGCAGACTAGCGAAACATTCGTGCCACCCCACACCACAGAAACATTGTACTAGGAAGTTCCATTATTGTACTGACCTATTGCACATTTTTTCGGGAATTTAAAAGCCGATGTGCGGTCAGTGAGGGTGTCTGTCTCAAGGACCGGGGGTGTCTCAAGGACCGGGGGAACACTGTACCCATGGTCTCAAAGTCCGAATTAATGAAGGGATCTGGGGGTGGATTATAAGTAAGACAACAATGCTTACTGGGTAACAACTGCGGGTAACAACCAAAACTAATGTCTGCACAGCCTTTCTAATGAGGCGCCAGATGTGTCGATAAGTTGGTAAGCAGCGGGTAATAAGCCGGGTAAGCACTCGATCTAATGATTGCCACCCCCAGACCCGGACTTGGTCACTTTGATCGAACCTAAGCCGAACGATGCGCAAAACACATATGGGGACTACAGGCTCTGGCTCGTGCTGATAGCGGCCTCCATCCCAGCTGTCCGCTGCTTTGCCTAGCCCAACTCTTGAGATCTGCGCCTCTGCACCGGAACCAGCATGTACTCACCTCTTCGATCAGATCATTCTCGATGACGGGAAGCGTCTCCAGAGGCTCATCGTTCCACGTCGATACCGTCCAGCGGTTTGGCGGATTCTCGACGTAGAGACAGAAGTCTTCTGGTATGTACTGCCCATGCTCAGCCTGGAAGTCAGCCCTGAGCAATCGCTCCTCTGCCAGCGCTCCGTGTCAGCCTGAGGCCTAGATAGCGGTAGCTGAGCACTAGGTAGACGTACCTTCGGCCATGGCATCGAGCTGGGCTGTCATATTCGCCACAATCCGTTGTGCTGCTTCCCGATACTGCGTGCGCCGCGCGAGCTCCAATATGAGCTTGCTGTATGCGTATTTGTAGGAGGTGTACTTGTGGTGCAGCTCCTCGAGCGGCCGGAGGTGCTCGTGGAGGTAGGAGAGTTGTTCTATACTCTCATACTATGTGTCGCCCATGGGAAATTCAGAATGTATGAGCACACGCAGAATGTCTGAGAGCCGTACCTCGACATTCTGCTGTTGTTCGAGCAGGTCCGTCATGATCTCGCCCAGCTCGTCAAGGTCGGTGAGCGTGCGCCTGTGCACTTCAAGATGTTCCTGTGCAGCCGTCTTCGCTGTCAACAGCTTTTCACTAAGCCCCCGATGTGAGCTCGAACTATGCGATGCATACACCTCGAAAGACTGACTGGAAACCTTCAATGGTGTTCATGCTACTCTCCAGCTCTGAGATAATGACAGGGAGCGCGCCCGCGTCCTGGGACATGCCTGCCTACTATGTGAGTAACACGGGTGAAGTACGGGTCTACAACTTACCTTGCATGTCTTCCTCATGAAACTCCTCTCCGGCTTCAAAGTCATGCAGGGCATTCGACATGTTGTGGTAGTGGTGAACAAGGGACTCAAGTTCCTCCGCCATCTTGATCGACGTCGTCTCCTGTGAGGACAAGATATCGCTGAAGGAGGGTAACGGGACCTCAACGGGGACCATCTCCTTGATAGCCCCAATCGTCTTCAACAGCGACTCTGGGTAGTCCGATGTCGTCTCGAGGGTGTCCTGATTCGAGAGTCCATGAGATAGACAGGCGCACAGCAGAGGAAGGGACGCACGTCTAGCTCCAACCGTTCCTTCTCAATCGTGTCCAGCAGATCCTCGATCGCCCGCTCATTCACGAAGTCCCGCAACGTCTTCCACTTACTCCGGTCCGCCCTCCTCTGATCCCTACGCTGTTGTCGCCTCAGTGCTGGCGACCGGTTACGTATCGTGTCGGTGGGGCTCATGCGCGGACTGGTACTCGGCTGGGGAGGGCCGAACGGCGTAGTATCGTCCTGAGGTCGGCGCTCTTCCTGCTCGTCGTCAGAGTTGTTCTGGCTGCCAAAAGGTGAAGTGTCCGCGGAGACGGTGTGGAACTCTGGCGGGACCGACTGTGTGCCCAGAGACTCGAGCACAGCGTCCAGCGCATCAGTGCGTTGGTTGCGGATGTGGTCCCATTCCTGGAAGCAAACGCAGCGTCACAGCGTGTTGGTTGGTACGTTGACAATGCGTACCTCGGCTTGTCTTTCGAGCTCAGAGCGCTTTTGCTCTATGCTCTTCGCCACTTGGGCAGCAAGCTGCAGTGATCCGTGGTTGTTGGGAGGTGGTCTCGGTGGTCTGTAGATGTGATACGGACGCACCTTGAGCTGGTCAAGCACCGCTTCAGACATCCACCTAACCTGGGCATCCAATGCCAGTACGTCCACGGCTGTCTGGGCTGATGCAGCAGAAACCGCGCTGGCGTGAAGACATAGTTCCTGGCCTTGCTGCAATGCCTTCTTAGCTTGGAGTACGAGCTCGACGATATGTGGTTGCTCGTGCTCAGGTTGAGTAGACTGTAGTTCCGGCATTGTAGCGACCTCGAACCCCAGGGCTGGGTCACCAGGAGTTGGCAAGAGTGGGTCGTTAACAAAGAGCTACTGTAGTACTACAGTAACAGGATGATGCCAACAGCGTCGACGACGAGTGTTCTCGTACTGGGCGCCGGCCCGTCGTTCGGAAGCGCTCGCTCCGGCCGGGGTACCGGTCCGCGTCCTTACGTCATGGCTGGGCCGAGCGCTAACCCCTGCCCTTCCTTTGCGCTAACCCCCACCACGTTCGCAAGTTCGCAATCTCTACGTATACCTGAAGGCCTCTGTTAGGCTTCAAGCCACAGCCTTTTCATATGTCTCTGCCGAACAATATCCTCCGGTCAGTTGCGAAGCTAGTGGGCCACGGGAAGATTACAGCCACACAACTTTCCTCTGTTCGGACTTTCGCACACAGTGCAACAAGGGAGAGTGAGAAGCATGTGAGGGCCTTGGCCAGTAGTTGCCCTTGCTACTTATTGAACGGTCTATGCGTAGGCTACCCCTGACTTTGATCCCAGTCTGAAGGAGCTCGAGGAAGCTTCGGACAAGCGGTCACGCCCAAACGACAAGGACGTCAAGCACAAGATGTCCGTAGCCGATCAAGACGCTGCATTAATGAATGCCTGGAAGGACCGGGAAGGTTCCCTAGCCAACACCGAGTTCGAGGATGGTGATTTCGAAGGCGGTTACCGACGGAATGTGGTGCGTTGCTTTGCAGTTACAGTTAGAATGAGACCCATGCGTTCGTTGTATTACAGAAAGCCAACATCTTCCGTTATATATGACGGTCATCTCACGCCTCAGTTTCTAACCTCCGTGTATCTTACTTGGCTTGCCATCCGTATCGTCCGTGCTCCATCAGGAGTTGCCAGCCGGCCCGGGTCCGTGGTGAGCGTGGTGGCGGTCAGGCTCTCCCTCAGGCTGCTGCCATTGCTGTCAGTATGCTGATATCCGTGTTTGCACATTCCCCATAACAGCGAGCCAGTGCCATCACGAATCAGAGAGTGTTCTGTGTTCAGCTCTCAAGTAGACGTCGTACAAGGGAGATGCTGCCCTCCTGGTAAGTGCACGACTCGTGATCTGATGATGACGCGTCGGAGAGAACCTCAGGTGCTCATATCACCCTTCGACTTGACCTGCTTATCAATGCATGTCTCCTACAAAGACTTCGAGCGGACTGTAGTCCAAGCGGGCAAACCCGTCATGGCGGACCCTCCCGCAGTAACGGCGGCCAATCCGCCACTGCTTAAGCAGGGCCGTTGTTGTCTCCGGCTTCAACCCAAATGCTACCGAGAAGTCGGACATGGCTGTCGCTTGATACTACTGTGGTGCTCTGCTCGTCGACCCGCGATGTCGCGTCTGTTACACGGTCTCGTGACTGTGACAACGCGCGACGGGAGAGGACGGGAGCCAATCACGGACGCGACTCCTCGCATGTCTCCGTTCGATTGACACGGATTGAACTGCAATAGCCATATCGGCTCAAAGCACGCATCGTCATGGCCCAAGGGCCAGCTCTGGGGCTATATAGACTCAGAGCTCGCGTTCGTCCCGGTGCAACTTGACTCCCGTCCATCATGTCCTCCGCAAGCCCTCCCGCTCAGTCTCCTCTGCTCAGATTTCGCCTCTCACGGCAAGACTTCCAGCAACAGGTCGTACGAGCTCGTGAGACGCGGACGAACACAGCTCAACGAGATGCGCGCCCGGCGAAGAAGCAGGCCATCGTCATTCGTGGGTACAACAACGATGCTACAGCCGCCATCCGGATAGCTGCTGGGGGCAGAGAAGAAGTTCTGAAGGCCTCCTACATTCTTGGCAAAGAAATGGTAACGTTTTCGACGTTTATCGGAGCGCATATAGTCAGTCAACTCACCTCGCACGTTCATAGTCCAGCATCGTCGAGCAGGTCGAAGATGCTCTACTCATTCCCAGCAAGCACTGGGTGAGCTTCTAGCCGTCTGTCATGCGCTGGTTAGGTACTGAGCCCTGTCGCAGCGCCTAACATCCAAGTCGGCTGCCCGGAACCCCGAGGACACCCTCATACGTGACTGTGGAG